GATTCATCGGACCACAGGACACTTTTCCACTTCCCCCCAGTCCATTTTAAATGAGCTCAGGCCCAGAGAAGGTGGCAGCATTTCTGGATCCGATTTAGAGTTTTAACCTGCATTTGTGGGTGCAGTGATGAACTGTTTTCACAGACAGTGGTTTTCAGAAGTGTTTCTGAGCCCATGCAGTGATTTCCATTACAGAATCATGTCTGTTTTTAATGCAGTGCCGTCTGGTTTTAGCCTTGTCCCTTACATACAGAGATTTCTCCAGATTCTCTGAATCTTTTAATGATATTCTGTACCGTAGATGATGAAAAGCAGAAGTTCTTTGCTATTTTACGTTGAGAAACGTTATTCTTGAATTGTTGCTCTATTTGATGGTGCAGTCTTTCACAGAGTGGTGAACCCTCCTCATCTTTACTTCTGAAAGACTCCGCCTCTCTGAGACGCTCTTTATACCCAATCATGTTACTGACCTGTTGTCAATCAACCACCAGGTGTTTTTTAGCATTACACAACTTTACCAGTCTTTTGTTGCCCCGTCCCAACCATTTTGGAAATTCAAAATAGGCAAATATTTTTTTAAAAAACAATAAAATTTCTCAGTTTCAAAATTTGATTTGTTGTCTTTGTTCTATTTTCAATGAAATATAGGGTTTAAATGATTTGTACATCATTGCATTTTGTTTTAATTAACATTTTGCACAGCATCCCAACGTTTTTGGAAATGGGGTTGTATTACTTATCGTGATTTTGTGTGTTTTTGTTACTATTTATATATGTTATACTATTTAATCTCTTGTCAGGTTATATGCTTCAAGATTTCACCATCACTTTTCAGAAATGAGGCATTCAGGACTTTCAGGAAACTTTCTCTCTTTTTTCTTAATATCTGACAGGTCAAGAAAGGTTTTTCAACATTTGTATTACAGAAGCAAATCTGAACTTAACTTAGGAACCTAAAACTAAAGCATAATAAACTGTAAGTGGTGAATACTGTGAGAGCGCCCCCTGCTGTTTATCAGAGCGTCGCCGCTCCCCAGTTTCAGTCTCCATTTCCCAAACGCTTTAGCCGAGCGTGCTAACGTTACTCCTCCTAATAAACAGACACACGTTCAGCTCCGTCTCCTCATTATTCACCACCATCACTGTAATATTTCATCATCAACATTAACACACGAAGGTGATCAGTGGGGCGGTGGAGATCGAGTCTGCAGCGTCTGAGATCTTTAAAACGCAGAGTTAGAAAAGAAAATCATCTCACAGTGAAAGCAGCGTTTTACAGCAGGAATAAATGGAGCTCATTATGCTGGTAGTGAACTATGCTGCTGACACAGCTGCCTAAAAACCATAGAAACGGACCTTAAACAGAAGTGAGGACCCTGTTGGGGTTCATCCTAAAGTTAGGACAGGATTTAGGAGGTTCAGTCTAGTTAGGATGTTTGTGTGATGCTGTTTTCTTATCTGGAGTTCATGATGAGATTATGAAGGTAGGGACTCTTATTCTGTAATAGCTACTGTCTGAAATTCAGTCCGTACTGAAGTCGTCATGGAGACTAAACAGATAAGTGACTTCACTCTGTATGTAGTTCTGCTGTAGGTTCTAAATGTCAGATGTGAGGGTGTTCGAGTGGAACCTCTCTGAGCGCCGTGTCTGCGCGAGTCTGTTGGTCAGTGCAGCTCTCCTGCAGTCTGCGCAGCTCTCGGCTGTGTGAGCTGACCGTCTCCTCCAGCTGCTCCCGCAGGTCCTGCAGCTCTGCATTCAGAGCAGCTACTGCAACCTGCACACACACACACACACACACACACACACACACACACACACACACAGTCAGGCAGTTCATTGAGATTCTCATGCCATAGAATTAAGATTTTTTCAGTTTCAGTATTAAATACTGGGTCATGTTTAGACAAGCAGTGAGCATCTCTCATAACTACACAACATACACATCAGTGTCCTAGTAGATACTGAATAATTCATAGTAGATACTGAATAATTCATAGTAGTTTCTGGATAATTTATAAGAAGTTTAAGAATATATTAAAAATAATTGTAAAAATTAGATAATATTTTTAGGTTACTAATTTATTCATAAGAGCTACTGAATTTATTCATAGTTATCATAGTAGTTACATAATAATGTACATAAATAATAAGTCTGAACATTAATAACATAATAAATAGCCTAAGATTTAGTAGTGAAATCTTCCATTTTTTGCCACACATCCACTGCTGATTTTAGGGCAAGAACACAGTGGAACGTGGTTCTGCAATCTGTTCTATCCTAATTTTTATTTGAGATTTGAAAAAACAAACAGTAAAAAACAAAATCAAGAAACAAAAATCACATTCTGCACTTCAGCCCCCAATAAAGCCACAGCGAGTCGTCTTACTCTCTCCTGGTCCTTCAAGTTTTGAGCTTCTCTGGTCAGTTTTTCCACCTCCAGGGCTGCAGTACTGAGCTCAGCCTGCAGGGAGCAGACTCGCTCCGACAGCACCGCCTTCTCCGTCTCCTTCAGGGACAAGGCCTGCAGACGGACAAACGGAGAGACGCGGCTCATCTTCACGATATACTAAACACTACGCGCAAATTATGGCAATTACTTTTTTAAAACTTAGAATTAAAATGTTAAAAATCTGCAAGATTCTTAAATCTAATTGTGGCTCTGTTGAACGACAGATGACGACTCTAAACCCACCTGCTGTTTCTCGCTCTCGGCCTGCAGGAGGCGCTGGTCCCTCTGGTGCTGTAAAGTTCGGACCTCCTCCTGTAGCTCCTCCCTCTCTCTCTCCATTCTCTTCAGCTGCTCCTCCAGCTCCTCCCGCAGCCGCCGCAGCGCCCCCTCCTGCTCAGTCTCCAGAGTGCAGCGCAGTGTCTCCTAGTGTAAACAGCACCCTCTAATTTACTCTGCTCTATAAATCTGATAAAAAGGCTGGATTTTAGCTCAGTAATCAGATTTCTCAGTTCATGTAAACTCTTACTCTGATTTCTTTTGGATTTCTCAGTCGGCGCACGTACGAAAACGGATCGCGGTTCCGGAAATGAGCATGCAGCGTTCCCGCGTGACGCAGCAAAACGCTTTGTAGTGATGCTGACACCAAACACGTTCTCATCGAAATTAGGGATTTAAATAATCTTCATCTTCTAGATGTATATTCACAATTTTCGCTAAAGTGACTGGAAGTTTAAAAAAAGCTGCTCATGACATTAAAGTTTTACATTACGTTTACGTCACGTCTTATTCTGTGAGTTTATCGGCCGATTTTAAAGGAGAAATCTGATTACTGTCTGAGTAATGCAGACCTGGAGTCTCCCATTATCTGATTACTTAAGAGCATGAAAACACACTGAACCAGTTACTGACACAATCTGATTTTCTGGAGTCATCAGATTATTAAGTGCAAACATGCTAAACCAGTTAGTGACACAATCTGATTTTCTGCAGTTATCAGATTATTGAGTGTAAACACACTGAACCAGTTAGACACAGTCTGATTTTCTGCAGTTATCAGATTATTAAGTGTAAACAAGCTGAACCAGTTACTGACACAGTCTGATCTTCTGCAGTTATCAGATTATTAAGTGTAAACACGCTGAACCAGTTACTGACACAATCGGATTTTCTGCAGTTATCAGATTATTAAGTGTAAACACACTGAACCAGTTACTGACACAATCTGATCTTCTGCAGTTATCAGATTATTAAGTATAAACATGCTGAACCAGTTACTGACACAATCTGATCTTCTGCAGTTATCAGATTAGTAAGTGTAAACACGCTGAACCAGTTACTGACACAATCTGATCTTCTGCAGTTATCAGATTATTAAGTGCATGTAAACACACTCAGTATCTGAGCAGCACTCGTGTTTCCTACATAGTTTTGCGAGGGTGGGGGGGGGGAGTCAAATGGGGGCAGCACTGAAAAACGTTTTATTTAATCGTTTATTAGACATTAATTTCTGTTATTTATCATAAACGATGTTCAGAATCGGCTCCAGTTCTTACTTTCTCGCTGGCGAGTCTCTCTAGCTCCTCCTGGTGGTCATTGAGGGTGTTGCGGAGGGCCGTTTGCGCCTCCTGCTGGGCATCTGCCAGTGCCTGTTTGAGCGCCACCCGCTCTCTCTCAGCCTGAGCCACGGCGCCGTCTCGGTCTGCACGCAAACGCTTCAGCTCCGCTGGAGGGACAGAGGGAAAAAACAGAGGGATGAAAAAGACACCCGGTTAATCATCATGTTATAAAACAGTCATAACTCATCTTTATACCTTTAAACAAGAACATGTGATTGGCTGTCCTGTACTGTGAAGCAAACTGGGCTGAAACACTCCTTATAACTTCAGTGTGAACAGCTAAACAGGCAAACGCGTGCAAAAGTGCTGGTTTTTGTGACGCCACAAAAACAATGACTTCATTTCTGTTTTTGCAGCTTTTGTTTGTCCAGTGGAGTAAATGGTCTGTTTCATCGTGCGCAGACGTTGGTGTAGGTGTCTGAGGACTTACTGATATCCGTGTGCACTAGGGGGCAGCATCCAAACCAGAATGTCCAGAAAACAAAGAGGAAATTCTGGACGTTTTCCTCCAAGAATTAATAATAATTGTACATATATACAGATATTCACACATCTCTTTATGCTCCTCTCACATTGGCTCTTCTTTATTCTTTCTTATTTTCTATTCTATTTAAATAGAAATATTATTTTTTAATATAATTTCTATTTATTTCTATCTATTTGTTTTTATTATTATTTACTTTCTCCCTTAGTTAAACACTTGCAACATACTTAAGCCGTAAAACCCGAGAGGGAGTGTGTTTTCACGAAATAACATCCCGGCTGTGATTTGGTCGCCGTAGATCATCACAGCTGTGATGTTATTGGCGATAACACACTCCTCGAGTGTTCTACTGCTTTAATACTACAGTTAAATAAATAAAGTAATAAATTAATAAACTGGGCCGTGAACGCGGCGTTTAATATGTTTTAATGTTCGCAGTTCCTTCACCAAATTATAGTTCCTTAACGAGCAGCTTGTTGCTACGTCAGAGTAACGAGCTCCGCCCACTCGTTGTTCAGTCTGCTGTAAGCCCCGCCTTTTGAAGTACAGATTGAGCTATAAAACTGCCGCAATATCAAGTTCAGCTCAGTTTTGTCAGTTTTTGCCAGATCAGTATTAATGTTGTTTTGTTCCAGCCAGTCTGTAAAGCATCTTACAGCCCGTTTAGTTTGGCGAATGGTGTTGGGTTCATTTCTGGCTGATTCCAGGTTGTTCAGCTGTTCTTCTGTCACAGCTGTCGAATGAAAAGCTGCTCAGTGGTGATGACAGTTTGGGAATTTAGTGTCGTCTCATCTTCAGAGTCTGACCAAATCGGCTGTCGGTCAAATGTGATCTTAAAAGTGTCCGTTTTCTGTTTGTGGCAAAGTAAGAAGTAAAAACGTTCAAATGTCTTGAGCGTCTCCGACAGCTGTCAAAGTCGTTGCTTAGCAACGGCGTCTCAGCGGAGTGATGCAGTGTTTGTGAATAAACCTGTGATGTTATGGTGAAATAACAGCACAGTTAGAACGCCTCTCAACCAATCAGCTCGCGTGGCCGGAACTCACTGTTGTATAATTGTTGAGTAAAGTGACTCTGAAATTTTGAAGATGAGTCCTACAAATGTTTGTATTGTCACTCCTCTTCTGCAGACCTGCAGATTTTGGAGGCCTGCAGCTCGTGCTTACCCATGAGCCTCTTTTCTGTTCTATATAGAACCACGAACATTCAAAGAACCCTTTGCATGATTAAAGGGTTCTCTGCACAGTGAAAAGGTTCTTCAGATTGATGGAGAATGAGCTGTACATGGTGCCATAGGTAACCTTTTTGTAAACGGTTCTATATAGCACCAAAGAGGGTTCTTCTATTGTTATGATATCAAGCTTGTTACAATAGCAGAACCCTTTCTGGTGCTATATAGAACCATATACAACACATTTTCCATCAATCTGAACACCATGCAAAGAACCGTTTAATCATGCAAAGGGTTCTTTGAGTGTTCTATATAGAACCATTTTCTTTACACAAGAACCCTTGAAGAACCTTCTTTTTTAAGTGTGTATATCTCACCAAAATGGTGAATTTCAAAAAGTGAGACGGATTTCGAATTCATGAAATGGGCCCTTTAATTTACACTCCTCTGTCTCTGTGTCTCTTTGTGTCTCTTTCTCTGTGTCTCTCTCTCTCTCTCTCTCTGTGTCTCTCTCTGTTTCTCTCTGTTTCTCTCTCTGTGTCTCTCTCTCTCTCACTCTCACTCTGTGTCTCTGTCTCTCTCTCTCTGTGTCTCTGTCTCTCTCTCTCTCTGTGTCTCTCTCTCTCTGTGTCTCTCTCTCTGTTTCTCTCTCTGTCTCTCTCTCTGTGTCTCTCTCTGTCTCTCTGTCTCTCTCTCTGTGTCTCTCTCTCTCTCTGGGTACCTGCAGTGTTGTCATTGCGCAGTCTCAGGTTGGTGTTCTCTGCCTCCAGCTGTTCTCTGCGGGACTCCAGCTGCACCAGCTGCTGCTGAACCTCGAACAGACTCGCCTCCAACACCTCCCTCTCCGACCTTCAGCACATACAAACATAAATACACATAAAATGATGGATCATAAACCACTAATGCTTCAAATCTAGTTTTCTCTCTCTCTCTCTGTCTCTCTCCCTCTCTCTGTGTGTGTGTCTCTCTCTCTCTCTGCGTCTCTCTCTCTGTACCTGAATGCAGCCAGCTCCTCCGTCAGCGCCGCATTTTCTCTCTCAGAAGCTGTTAGTTGGACCACTAGCCCCGCCCTTTCCCGAGCAAGCTCCGCCCTGCTCCGCCCCGCCTCCTCCAGAGCCACTCCCTGTCGCTCTCCTTCACCGCGGGCCATGCCAAGCTCCGCCCCCAAAGAGCTCACCTCTCCACACAGCTGGAACAGATTTAAAACACAAACATCAAACTCAGCCCAGGGGGGGCGTCTCAAACAGCTCCGGAGATCAGTCAGAGTACACAGGCCCTGTCCTATTTCTCAATTTTACCCCTACCCCTTGTTTTCGAGTGTTGCCCCTTGTTACTGAGTTACAGGGTAGTGGTTGAAATCCTCCCTCTGAAATGGGACCCTCAAATAAACAGAGCATCACTTCATTAACAGCTACCAGCGCTGCTCTGTAGGCGACCCTGTCAGTCTGCAGTGACAGCAGAGGAGGGTAAAGTTCAGCTCCTCACTGCTGGGCTTCAGTTACATTTAGGGCATCATATGATCTTCAAAGAGGGGGGCAATTATTTATTATCACCACCCCTAATTCTTCAGTGATATGAAGCTGAAGTCAGATATTCACCAGCTTCTTGTTCGAAAAGTAGAACAGTTTCTTGTAAAATGTCTCTGAACCTCTGACCTGAAGTCGCTTCTCACAGCTTCTTGTTCGAATTTTCCCGTTCCACCTTAAATGGTGCCTGATGCACCAGAATGTAACTGCTGCACCATTTAAGGTGGAACGGGAAAATTCAAATAAGAAGCTGGAGAATGAGAAACTGACTTCAGCCTTGTGACTTTTTAGCATTTGTCAGTTTCTCACTGCAGATTAAACGTATCAGGAAACCAGCTGGAGTGATAATAAACACTAATAAGTCCATTCATCTCCAAATTATCGATGTTCATCTTAAATCTCTCTCTTTGCCGTTTCGTAGCTACTAGCTAGGTGAGACTGTTATCTGTGTTGCTATGGTGACCAGCAGTCTGCGCTGATCTTCAGGGTTAAAGGGTGAATCAGCAGTTCTACATTAACTCCAGAGTTTAAGACCATTTATTGTTAAACTGTGTTGAACGATCAGCAGAGCTTTATTTTACTGCAAAGGAGGATTATTTTATTTTTACCTACAAATCTGATTCTGCTGTGGAGCACAACAGGGCAGTAAAAGAGCCGCATGCAGCTCCGGAGCCACATGTTGCTGAGCGCTGATTTAGGTATATTTATCACTTATGTCCATCAAAGTGTCCTTCTTGGTGAGCAGATTTTGCTTAAATGATGAATATATGTTTAAAGCATATATTGAGTCCTGACCTCACAAGAGGGTATAATGTGGCTGTATTCCCAAAGTAGCGCCGCTGCTGATACGCAGCCTTGTTCTCCTCTAATAAACCTGTTTAGGCTTTAATATGGTAAAGTTCTGTAAACCGATAAGGAACTCCTGCTCCTTTGTATTTAAATCAGTACATCACTGGAGTGACAGGCAGCGTTTTTCACACAGGGGTTTTACTGACCTGAGTGACTTTGTCCTGTAATTTCTGCCTGTCTGCTCGGAGCGCCTGAAGCTCCGCCTCCAGTCCCGCCCTGAGCAGCTCAGACTCCTGCAGCGATTGGTGCAGGGCGAGGCGGGCGGAGTCCAGCTCTAGCCGGTCCTGCTCTAGCCGCACCAGCTCGTCTCTGATGGTCAGTTTCTCCTGCTCCGCCTCCCTCCGCTGAGACAGCAGGAGACTCTTCTCCTCCTCCAACTACAACACACATCCGACATTGAGGATTTACCTGTGTGATGCTGTTCAGGTGTGTGGTACCTGCATGATGCTGTTCAGGTGTGTGGTACCTGCATGGTGTTGTTCAGGTGTGTGGTACCTGCATGATGTTCAGGTGTGTGGTACCTGTATGATGTTGTTCAGATGTGTGGTACCTGTATGATGCTGTTCAGGTGTGTGGTACCTGTATGATGCTGTTCAGGTGTGTGGTACCTGTATGATGCTGTTCAGATGTGTGGTACCTGTATGATGCTGTTCAGGTGTGTGGTACCTGTATGATGTTGTTCAGATGTGTGGTACCTGCATGATGCTGTTCAGGTGTGTGGTACCTGTATGATGCTGTTCAGATGTGTGGTACCAGTATGATGATGATGTTCAGGTGTATGGTACTTGTATAATGCTGTTCAGGTGTGTGGTACCTGTGTGATGCTGTTCAGGTGTGTGGGTACCTGTATGATGCTGTTCAGGTGTGTGGTACCTGTATGATGCTGTTGTTCAGGTGTGTGGTACCTGTATGATGCTGTTCAGATGTGTGGTACCAGTATGATGATGATGTTCAGGTGTGTGGTACTTGTATGATGCTGTTCAGATGTGTGGTACCTGTGTGATGCTGTTCAGGTGTGTGGGACCTGTATGATGCTGTTCAGGTGTGTGGTACCTGCATGATGCTGTTCAGGTGTGTGGTACTTGTATGATGCTGTTCAGGTGTGTGGTACTTGTATGATGCTGTTCAGGTGTGTGGTACCTGCATGGTGTTGTTCAGGTGTGGTACCTGTATGATGTTCAGGTGTGTGGTACCTGTATGGTGTTATTCAGGTGTGGTACCTGTATGATGTTCAGGTGTGTGGTACCTGTATGATGTTGTTCAGATGTGTGGTACCTGTATGATGCTGTTCAGGTGTGTGGTACCTGTATGATGCTGTTCAGATGTGTGGTACCAGTATGATGATGATGTTCAGGTGTGTGGTACCTGTATGATGCTATGTTCAGGTGTGTGGTACCTGTATGATGCTGTTCAGGTGTGTGGTACCTGTGTGATGCTGTTCAGGTGTGTGGGACCTGTATGATGCTGTTCAGGTGTGTGGTACCTGTGTGATGCTGTTCAGGTGTGTGGTACCTGTGTGATGCTGTTCAGGTGTGTGGGACCTGTATGATGCTGTTCAGGTGTGTGGTACCTGTATGATGCTGTTCAGGTGTGTGGTACCTGTGTGATGCTGTTCAGGTGTGTGGGACCTGTATGATGATGTTCAGGTGTGTGGTACCTGTGTGATGCTGTTCAGGTGTGTGGTACCTGTGTGATGCTGTTCAGGTGTGTGGGACCTGTATGATGCTGTTCAGGTGTGTGGTACCTGTATGATGCTGTTCAGGTGTGTGGTACCTGTGTGATGATGTTCAGGTGTGTGGTACCTGTATGATGATGCTGTTCAGGTCAGATTTGTCCTGAGCCAGGCTCTCGTTCATGCTGCCCATTTTAGCCAGAGAGTCTCTCAGCGCTGCCTCCTCAGAGTGGAGCTTCGCTATAACAGCGTCAACTCAGCATTGCTGGACTCCACCTGGACGTAAACACACAAACACCTGGAGTTACAGTTCAGCAGTGACGAACAGTACAAGGTAAAAAGATAAACCCACGTCAAGTACACAGTGAGTCTGATGGAGCGCAGGTGAGGAAAACTGGAGTGTGTGAAAATCACTGTTCCCTACATCAGGAGAACCATACAGAACACTACAGAACACTCACAGAATAAAGTGGGTGGGGCTTATACTATGGACACACCCATTCTCAAAAGACTTTTTTTCTGAAACACTTATAAACGGTCGTGATTTCTGGGGGTTATTTTGTTCTTGGGCGGTGCGACAGGTTTTGAAAACGTTTTACTGGAGATTTTGAATAAATCAAGACTTAAAATAGTCTAATAGTCAAGACTTTAGTCTAGTCTAACTGTCTAAGGCCCAGCCCCATTTCACCCCTCGCCTTACCACTCAGCCCTACCCCTCCGTTTTGCGTGTTCATGTCTAGTGGTGGGGTGTCCCGATTCTTGCTGAGATAGAGGGGTGGGGCGAAGTGTTCGAGCTACAAACTGAGGTTTTTCAGAGACTCCAAACAGAGAGTTATGAGAAGAGACCAAAGAAACCACAAATGTTTCTCTGTTAAAAAATTAAATAACCATCATATTCTCTTAGTCTAATGTTGTTTCAGTGTATTTTGGTCCTTTTCTTCACAACAAGCATAAAAAATCACTAGTAGTGCTGACGTCTCGGTAGCTAAATGTCCCGTTCCACCTTAAATGGTGCAGCAGTTACATTCTGGCTTCTCAGGCATCAGAACTGCTGCTCCATTTAAGGTGGAACGGGAAAATTTGAACAAGAATCTGGTGAATATCTGACTTCAGCTTCATATCACTGAAGAATTAGGGGTGGGTGATAATAAATAATTGCCCCCCTCTTTGCAGATCATATGATGCCCTAAATGTAACTAAAGCCCAGCAGTGAGGAGCTGAACTTTACCCTCCTCTGCTGTCACTGCAGACTGGCAGGGTCGCCTACAGAGCAGCGCTGGTAGCTGTTAATGAAGTGATGCTGTTTTTATTTGAGGGTCTCATTTCAGAGGAAAGATCTCAACCACTACCCTGTAACTCAGTTCCAAAGACACTCAAAAACAAGGGGTAGGGGTAAAAATATGAAATGGGACTAAGACTAAGAGTTAAAATAGAACAGATTTCAGTTTCACAGCGTTTTACATATAAAATGGAATCGAATCTTGACCTCAGAAAGTCTTGACATGAAAGTACGTGAATCATTCCACCTGTGTTCTGTACGCATGTGTGTACGTGTGAATAATCCAGACCCTGCTGAGAGCGTCAGTGAGCTGGTTCTTCTCAGTCTCCAGCAGCTGCCTCTCTATCTCCCCCTGCTGGAGCGCCTCCTTCACTGCAGCCAGTTCAGAGCGCAGAGAGCTGCCACGAGCTTCACTCTGACCCCACTGAGTCTGACTGCACAGAGAGAAAGATGGTAAACGTTCTTCATTCTGTCCTTTCAATCTCCTCCTTTGTCTTATATTGATCTTATATTCACTTTTATTCCCTTATTGTTTCCTCCGGTCTTTCACATTTGCGTGTGTGAGCTGGGGTAGGCAATATGGCAAAAATATAATCTCACAATATTTCAAGACATTTTCATGATAAATGATATGTATAGCGATATTCTGACACAGACACAATACACTAGTAATACCACAGTTTAAAAACTGCCCCCAAAAACAAGGAATAAAATAATAAAATGTTCAAAAATTCAAATTTCACAAACTTCACTGCACTAAATCCAAATAAACAGGTTTAACTCTGCTCTCTTTGGCTATGTTCACATTACAAGCCTCGTTGCTCAAATCCGATTTTTTGCTCAAATCCGATCTCTCTGACTCGATGGTTCACACTCGTTTAGGTAAGTGACTCAAATCTGTCATTAATGTGACGAACCCGCGTCCTGAAATGACCCTCATGAGCTCATCCTACTCAGTAACGCCACGTGAATGAATCACGAGCATCATCAGCACAAACTAACGAGCAGAACGAGCTTCGCTGAGAAGATCATTAACTCTGATCAGCTCTCAGCTTCATTATTAGAGCGAGACGAAGGAGAAAAAGGTGAGATGAGCTGCTTTTCCACCGTTTACAGGCTTTAACCTCTGTTCGGCGCTGCTGCCATGGTAACGCTGAACGATGTGGTACCTGATAATTATAATTTATGATTGTTTTTATTCTGCTTATTGTAAATTTGCTGTAAACATGTCTTGTAAAATTAGATATCGTGCTTTAATTGAACAACATATGATCTAATTTTTGCTCCTACTGCTGAGTGACTCACGCTCTCTGGGCCTCGGCTTTGGCGCGCTCTCTCTCCTGCACGGCCGCCTCTCTCTCCTCTCTCTCGTGGTCTCTCTCTCTCTGCGCAGACGCCGCGGCCTGCTGGAGCCTCTCGCACTCCAGCTGCAGCAGCTGTTCCTTCATCTGCGCCGCCTGGGCCACCTTCTCTAGACCGTCCTTCTCGCTGAAGGACAAAGACAGAGAAAAGAGGAAGTCTTAAAGGTCCATATCCTACATTTCTGGCAGTTTTTCCTCCGGTTGTCCAGCTATAACATTTGTGAGGTTTTATGTCCCAATTCGGACAATAATTCATTCCTACATGACCGTTTTACAGCCTCTCTGTATCCCTTAGAATTAGACAGGTTGTTTTTGGTACTGTGCCTTTATGACTGATGTATGTAAATGGTCTCTACTCTGATTGGCTGACCTGTATTTTGCCTTTATAGGCTAGAACACTCCTTATAACCGCATGTCTTGAAACAAGCACCTCAGTGAAGGACCTCGTCCACTCATTAAGATCTCTGATAATTAAATTATTATGAAATTATAAAAGTTTATGCTCAGTTTATTAGTGAAAAAAAGAGCAAATAATAATAATAATAATAATAAATCAGTGTAAACAAAGCAGGTGTGCTCACCTGGTGAGTCTCTCTCTCTCCTGCCGTATCCTCTCTCTCTCTCTCACGGCTGTCTCTTTCTCTCTCTGAGCATCATCCCTCTCTCCCTGCATCGCCTGCACACGTAGCTCCGCCTCCCGCCTCCCTGACTCCGCCTCCGCCACCTGTTTGCGCAGCTGCTGCAAAGACGACTGCGCAGCCTGCAGACGACCTCTGACCTCCTGTGGGCAAACAGATGCAGGGATGAACTTCAAGAGCTGCTTTCCTGCACATGAACTAATCACAACCTTGAGAGTAAAGACACAGTTGAAGGGGAATTCCACCAAGTATTCAAAATTTCTGCATAATTCAGTCCTTGAGATGTAAACAGTGATTCAGAGTGGTTTGGTGTGAAATGGTTCAGATGTCTTTACAGTGGTGGTGATAGGAACCAGGGGTCGCCATGACTACAACACAGATATAGACATTTTATTTACTATCCAGAACCACCACTGAACCTACACGAGTCTTCTGAGTTTATATGAATGTTGATGATGGAAAATAGTGGAAAATCTGAAATAATCAGTTTTCTTTGGGGACTATTTTGCCTCACAGCGCCCTGCATGTATCCCTCCACCATGAATGGAGTTTAAGTTCTCTAAACTATCATAAAACAGTGTCTCAGTCATCAGGCAGTGAATTCATAACCATTTCATGTAGGAACTTTCTGTGAGGGAGCTTTTAGAGGTGGACGTCTGGTTCCTATCACCACCACTGTGAACAGTTCTGACTCGGTAAGTTTATCTAGAACAGGGCGTTTCACACAGAACCACTCTGAACGACTCTGTTTACATCTTAACCTTTTAATTATGCAGAAATTTTGAAAAATTGTGGGTGTTCCCCTTTAATGAGGACTCCACACTTAACTCATTAATGTCCGTATCTCAAATGTGAAATGTTCTGTCTGCTCTGAGAACAATGTCTTCAAATTGATCAAATTATACAGCTATAAAGTTTGTTTTTAACACTTATTATATTTAATTCAGTCTTTTGGTCACACGGGGTTACTGATTTTTACCAAAACAACACAAAATTCAAACCTGATTGTGAATAAAAGTATTCAAATAGTTACTATTAGATGCTTATTGAACGTATGACTGTAAAAAATGTCATCGATTTAGACCAATCAAGTTAAGAATCAAATGAAGTACATATTTTTTTTTAAAAATGATATTTAGTTTGTCACTTATTAAAAAATAAACTGAAAAAGGCCCTTAAAAGTATCAGAGCATCATCTGCAGGGAGGTCAGGACCTTTTACAGATATTTACAGAGGTCTTCAGAAAAGTGTAATGAAACAATAAGCATATGATTAACAATATAGGGATTATTATTGGACAATACTGGACTAAAAGTTGATATCCAGTCATTGTACAGTCCATTACTGAGACTAGAGCTGTGAGGAAGGGGGCTGGAGCCGGGAGTGTGGCAGAGGACAGTGAACGTATGACAGTCGATTGCAGCCTTTACTGCTGAAACACACTGCATTAGATGCCATAATTCATATAATGCAAACGATATGTAATTCTGCACAATGATCACTGTCACATATGTATTGTTACCCATATTGTAATCGAATTATAAAATGTGATCAGACAGGTGCGTCATCAGACGGGTGAGTCTCACCTGCAGCTGCAGCTGTCTGCTGGCTACCATGGAGCGCAAGGCCGAGAGGCTGGACTCTGGAAGCAGCAGGACGGAGGGTTTCCGCGGAGACGGGGGGCGGTGAGGGGAGGAGGGTCGGAGAAAGGGCAATAAAGATAAAGCACTGCTCTCTGAATCGCCCTCCGCCGAGGAGGATAACACTCCAGAGTCTGAGTCCGATAACATGGCCTGGAACAGAGAGAGAGAGAGAGAGAGAGAAAGAGAGAGACAGAGAGAGAGAGAGACAGAGAGAGAGAGAGACAGAGAGAGAGAGAGAGAGAGAGAGAGAGAACAGAGAGAGACAGAGAGAGAGATGGGAAAACAGTAACGACTAAAATAAAAATACAAATGCTAACTGAAAAATAAAATGAAATAATTCTAAAGGAAAAAATAAATGAAAAATGATTTAAAAATACATAAAAAACAACGCTGTGTGGTCTGTGCTGTCAGTGTGTGAGTGAATGGCTGTGACTAATTAAATTGAAAGAATTAAAAGGAAAATATGAATTAAAAATAAACAGAAAATTATTCAAAATATAGAACTAATTACAATTAAAAGTAATGGGTTGGGCGGTGTGTGTGTGACTGTGTAAAAAACAATAAATAACAATAAATAAATCTATTATAATTAAGAAAGGGAAAAAGAACACTGGGTGGTTGGAAACCCAGTGTATGTGTGTGTGTGAGAGAGTGTGTGTTACCTGCGCAATGTCCCTCAGTGTGTCCAGCAGGGTCTCAGTGTGAACTCTCAGGGAGTGGAGCTCCGCCTCTTCATCCCCACTCTGCTCCTGAACACACACACACACACACACACACACACACACACCACTGATAAAACTGACCAAATGAAGATGGATGAAGATCATGGGCGTCACTTTGTGACATGTCGCTGTTGCTGTAACAAAACCTCATATCTCCAAAATGGTAACTTTACAGGAGAAGGAAAAAACATACTTCACTTTTAATGTAAGTCAATGGAACCAGAATTTTGTCCAAGTCATTTTGGGCTGTTTCCTTTGGTCCATTCATCATGAAATTTCCATAAAATATAAAAGACAATAGGTATTTTTAAATTATGTCAAAAACTGAAAAATGACAAAAATGGAGATCCGAGGTTTTGTTCCAACAGCAGCGACATGAAATGCTGCATTATCAATAATACATACATTACCAGTGACAATCATCTTAAAATTAGTCATTTTAATACAGTCCAATCAACACTGCTTATTTTTTAGCAGATGCACTCACTCTATAATACAACCCCATTTCCCCAAAAATTGGGATGCTTAACAGAATGTAAATAAAAATAGAATGCAATGATCTGCAAATGATGTAAATCATATTTTTAAAGGAAAATACTACAAAGACAACGTATCAAATGCTGAAACTGAGAAATTTTATTGTTTTTTGAAAAATATTTGCCCATTTTGAATTTGATGCCAACAACACCTTCCAAAAAAGTTGGGACGGGGGCCTGTTTAGCACTGAGTTTCATCACCTCTTCTTTAACAGCTCTGTAAGCGTTTGGGAACTGAGGAGACACTGCTGTAGTTCAAAGTGAAAGTTTTCCTGTTCCTGTTTGATACAGGATTTCAGCTGCTCATCAGTTCAGGAGCTCATTTGTCATATTTTTCATTTCATAATGGCCCAAATGTTTTCAGTGGTGACAGGTCTGGACTGCAGGCAGGTCCGTTTAGCACCTGGACTCTTTTAATACGGAGCAATGCTGTTGTAATATGTGCAAAATGTGGTTCGACATTGTCTTGCTGAAATAATCAAGGCCTTCCCTGAAAAAGACGTTGTCTGGATGGCAGCATATGTTGCCAAAACATAAATATATATATCGTTCAGCATTAATGGTGCCTATGTCCATTTTAAATGAGCTCAGGCCCAGAGAAGGTGGCAGCGTTTCTGGACCCTATTTATATTTGGTTTCTTCTTTGCGTTCTTTGAACCACGCACAACACATTCATCAATCTGAAGAACCATTTCAGCATGCAAAGGGTTCTTTCAGTCTTCATGGTTCTATATAGAAATCTGTCTCTACTAAAGAACGCTTGAAGAACCACTGTAGATATTCTATTTCATTTTCAAGCTAAAAACAGGCTAAAAAACAAAAATAACATTTACAGTTTAGTCTGTTTTGCCACTGAGTGAAATAAAATGAAAAGGATTAAACAGATCTGGTCTGAGTTAAACACACCTCCAGCTTTCTGGTGAGTGACGCGACCTCATGCTCTCTCTCTTCCTCTCGAGCCTTCAGTCTCTCCACCTCCCGCACTGCCTCCACCAGCCTGTTCAGCACACACAGCAGATTCACACAGTCACAAACCACTGCAACACACTTTAGTTTTAAATGGGGCGTGGCCACTTCCTTTTCCTCCAAATATACAGAAAATATGACCACACAGCACTAGAGGGCGCCACAGAGCCTCAGTGAATGAGCGCTAGTAGCTGTTAATGAAGTGCTGCTCTTTTTATTTGAGGGTCCCATTTCAGAGGGAAGATTTCAACCACTACCCACTACAAGAGGTAGGGGTAAACATCAGAAACGGGACAGGGCCTTAGGCTGCAGTTTAAGGGGTTAATTCAATAGAGGACAGTAATGGTGACAGTGCTGTGAGGCTGCTGACCTGCTGTTGAGCTCAGCTCTCTCAGAGTCGCTCTTGGCCTGCAGGTTCATCATCTCCGTCACTCTGTCTCTGAGCTGCTGCTCCAGGGCGCTCCGCTGCGCCGCCTCGCGCTCCAGAACCAGCGCCGAGCCGTCCTCACGGCTACGGACCGCCACACACACCCCCACACACTGCAGCTGCACACTCTGAGACACCTGAGCCAGCTCATTACGCATGTGGGACAGGTCTCTGAGAGAGAGAGAGAGAGAGAGAGGAGAGAGAGAGGACAGAGACAGAGAGAGGCAGAGAGAAAGAGAGAGACAGTAGACATAGAGAGAGAAAAAGAGAGAGAAAGAGAGAGAGACAGTAGATAAAGAGAGAGAAAAAGAGAGAGAGAGAGGGGATGCAGAGAGAGAGAAAGACAGAAAGAGACAGAGAGACAGTAGATATAGAGAGAAAAAGAGAGAGAGAAAGAGAGACAGTGGATATAGAAAGAGAAAGAGAGAGAGAGAGAGAGAGAGAGATAGAAAGAGAAAGAGAGAGAGAGAGAGACAGTAGATATAGAGAGAAAAAGAGAGAGAGAAAGAGAAAGAGACAGTGGATATAGAAAGACAAAGAGAGAGAGAGTGGATATAGAAAGAGAAAGAGAGAGAGAGAGAGAGAGAGTGGATATAGAGAGAGAGAGAGAGAGAAAGAGAAAGAGAGAGAGAGAGAGAGAGATAAGTATAGTAAGAGCTGTAAAATACTGTTACAGTAGACTGAATTACTAGTGTGAGTGTGTCTGTGTCTCCAACCTCTCGGTGGCGCTCTTCAGCTCACACACACTCCTGCGGAAGCCGACCACCTGCCGCCACAGAGCCAGCAGACGACTGTGTTCACTGCTGAAGTAGTTATGGAAGGACTGGAGAGGATAAAGTTCTATTAACCGAGGGAAATAAATACTGTGCACAATTTTGTGGTAATTAACACAATACAGGACCTTCTAAGGGCAACTCCACTGATTTTAAAAATTCCCCCATAATTCAGTGTGTGAGATGTAAACAGAGTGATTCAGAGTGGTTTGGTGTGAAATGGTTCAGATGTCTTTACAGTGGTGCTGATAGGAACCAGGGGTCGCCATGACTACAACACAGATATAGACATTTTATTTACTATCCAGAACCACCAGTGAACCTACACGAGTCTTCTGAGTCTATATGGAATGTTGATGATGGAAAATAGTGGAACATCTGAAATAATAAGTTTTCTTTGGGGACTATTTTGCCTCACAGTGCCCTGCATGTATCCCTCCACCATGAATGGATTTTGAAAATAGGTTTTAGATCAAAAATCTTAAAACACTGTCTGTGTTTATATGCAAAGATTTTTAAATGTATCTGATTGAACACATTCCGATTACAGATTCAGACTGAGGTGTTTATTCTCACTCTACTCAACAATCTGATGGAAATCTCAGTTTACATGCTCACTACAAGTAATCAGATCCAAAATGACGCTCATGCTCAACCGCTTAGTGTAGACGTTACCATGACAACCAGCATCCCGTGAGTCCAGTCAGAGTGAGATGAGCAGCAGTGAGCAGTGCTTGTGTTTTTAATCACTTTAAAACGATGTCAGACTCAGGAAAACGTCCTTCACATGTCCTTATTAAAGAAGGCCGAGAGGAAGACGTCGTGTTCTGAGACACATAAGCTGGACGTCCGTCCCACCGCCGTCTTTTAAAGATCAGAGCATAAACTTCGTCTCCTCTGCAGACCAGTTTCTGCTCCGCCATGTTGAACGGTATAAACTTTCACTATGACGTGACGAACATGATCAGAACGGACTTAAACTTTCCGATAGGGAATGTAATCAGATACAGACGTTTACACTGATATTATTCTTCTATTTAACTGATTATTTACAGGATTAAACCTCCTTCAGTCGGATAGAAACTGTATTCCAAATGGCCTCAATCAGACTAGACTATTCCGATAGAGGTGTTTAAATGGACGTATTCTATTCCGATTGAGCTATTAGTCGGATTATTAACAGATTATTAGGCTGCATGTAGTTAATGTCTCAGTCATCAGGCAGTGAATTCAGAACCATTTCATGTAGTAACTTTCTGTGAGGGAGCTTTTAGAGGTGGACGTCTGGTTCCTATCACCACCACTGTGAACAGTTCTGACTCAGTAAGTTTCTCTAGAACAGGGTGTTTCACACCAAACCACTCTGAACGACTCTGTTTACATCTCAACCACTTAATTACGCAGAAATTATGAAAAAATCTATGGGATTCCCCTTTAAGAATAATGCTATGTGTATAATATTATGCGTAAGTGGTCATCCGTCCGTTCATATACATTTGCAATGTTGGTCAAAAGTGAAAAAATTAACCCAAATCAAAAGATATATTGATAAAGATCTATATATTGTATCAAATCTTAATATCTCCATGAAATGTTCACACAATGTGAAGAACAGCTGGTACTTTAAATGGTATTAACCTCCTCCTCTCTCCTCCAATCAGCCTCCCTCTGCTCCAGCTCCTCTCTCGCTTTGGTCCAATCAGCAGTGAGTCTGCGTATGTCCTGGCTCAGCGCCTCATTGGCCAGACCGGCCTGCTCCAGCTGCTCGCGCAGCATCGCGTTGACCGCTGACAGACTGCTGCTTCTGCTCACACACACACGCACACACACACACACACACACACACACACACACACACAATACATATACAATACATCACAATGTTCAGGATCACAGTCGAGCAGAAATGTACTGAGCTCCTATTATTCTGTTAGAGAGAGTTTAAAGCTCTGCTGCTGGTTTTTAAAGCTCTAAATGACCTGAAAGCTCCTGGACGTCTGTTTATGATCTCAGATCTGCAGATTCTGACCTTCTGAACTCTGATTCTGACCTTCAGTAAAACACAGAAACCGTGGAGAGACTCTTTCAGTTATTCTGCTTCTAAACTGTGGAGCTCAGTTCAGCTTTTATTAGACAGTCGAGCTCAGAGCTCACTTTTAATAAACATCTGAAAACGCAGCTCTTTAACTCAGGGCTTCATTAAACTCTACGGCTCTTTGGTGTTTATCTTTTGATGTGTATAATTATAATGTTCTCATACGATTTTAAATGAATACTCATAATTACTGTTGAGCTTTATCACCTGTCTGTAAAGCACTCTGGGCTGCTGCTGGTATGAAAACCGCTCTATAAATAAAGATTTCCTTATTCTTATTATTCTTATTCTTATTATTATTATTTCTATCCATTCAGTACTGCAAATGGTCAGAGCCCAACCTTCATTAATTTAATTTCCATTCAAAACAACCATTAAGTACAAGTTATTCACTGTTCTGAGGAGATTTACATATATATATATATATACACTGATCAGGCATAACATTCTGACCACCTCCCTGTTTCTACACTCATTGTCCATTTTATCAGCTCCACTTACTATATAGGTGCACTTTGTAGTTCTACAGTTACAGACTGTAGTCCATCTGTTTCTCTGATACTTTGTTAGCCCCCTTTTACCCTGTTCTTCAGTGGTCAGGACCCCCATGGACCCTCACAGAGCAGGTACTATTTGTGGTGGGTCATTCTCCTCTGTATAATTTACTGCTGAGTATATATTTTGTGCTTTTTTCCGACTCTGAAAAATGAATGAACTGTACTCTGTATTTTGCAGCACTCGGCTCAAAGTCCAACAATAAACACAAACGCAAAGCAGTAACGAAGAACAAACTACATCCCGTCTGTCCAAACGATGTAAAGCAGCGTATTAACCCCACTGAGTGAGCGTGAGTGAAAGTGTGAGCTCTGCAGTCTCAGTGTGGGTCAGTTTACTGTCTGACCTCTGCTGCTCCTCCTCCAGACGTATAAGAGCCGTCTCGAGTTCACTGCTGGGCTCATCCTCCCCGCGCCGCTGACCATTACTGGACAGTTCATTCTGTAAAATATCACACCGTCGACCATTACCGGACAGTTCACCCTGTTTAATAACATGTTGCTGACCATTACTGGACATTTCATCCTGTTGGGGTGGATATAGAATTTGTATTGGCTGTGTGTGTGTGTGTGTTTGTGTCTGTGACTGTACTGTGTGTGTGTGTGTGTGTGACTGTACTGTGTGTGTGTGTGTGTGTGTGTGTGTTTGTGTCTGTGACTGTACTGTGTGTGTGTGTGTGTGACTGTACTGTGTGTGTGTGTGTGTGTGTGTGTGTGTCTGTGACTGTACTGTGTGTGTGTGTGTGTGTGTGTGTGTACTGTGTGTGTGTGTGTGTGACTGGACTTAGTGTGTGTGTGTGGTGTGTGTTTGTGTGTGTGACTGTACTGTGTGTGTGTGTGTGTGTGTGACTGTACTGTGTGTGTGTGTGTGTGTGTGTGTGACTGTACTGTGTGTGTGTGTGTGTGACTGTACTGTGTGTGTGTGTGTGTGTACTGTGTGTGTGTGTGTGTGTGTGACTGGACTTAGTGTGTGTGTGTGTGTGTGTGTGTTTGTGTGTGTGTGACTGTACTGTGTGTGTGTGTGTGTTGGGTGTGTGTGACTGTACTGTGTGTGTGTGTGTGTGTGTGTGTGACTGTACTGTGTGTGTGTGTGTGTGTGTGTGAGACTGTACTGTGTGTGTGTGTGTGACTGTACTGTGTGTGTGTGTGTGTGTGTTTGTGTGTGTGTGACTGTACTGTGTGTGTGTGTGTGTGTGTGTGACTGTACTGTGTGTGTGTGTGTGTGTGTGTGTGTGTGTGTGTGTGTGTGTGTGACTGTACTGTGTGTGTGTGTGTGTGTGTGTGAGACTGTACTGTGTGTGTGTGTGTGTGTGACTGTACTGTGTGTGTGTGTGTGTGTGTTTGTGTGCGTGTGACTGTACTGTGTGTGTGTGTGTGTGTGTGTGTGACTGTACTGTGTGTGTGTGTGTGTGCGTGTGTGACTGTACTGTGTGTGTGTGTGTGTGTGTGCGTGTGTGACTGTACTGTGTGTGTGTGTGTGTGCGTGTGTGACTGTACTGTGTGTGTGTGTGTGTGTGACTGTACTGTGTGTGTGTGTGTGCGCGTGTGTGACTGTACTGTGTGTGTGTGTGTGTGTGACTGTACTGTGTGTGTGTGTGTGACTGTACTGTGTGTGTGTGTGTGTGCGTGTGTGACTGTACTGTGTGTGTGTGTGCGTGTGTGTGCGTGTGTGACTGTACTGTGTGTGTGTGTGTGTGTGTGTGTGTGACTGTACTGTGTGTGTGTGTGTGTGTGTGTGACTGTACTGTGTGTGTGTGTGTGTGTGTGTGTGACTGTACTGTGTGTGTGTGTGTGTGTGACTGTACTGTGTGTGTGTGTGTGTGTGTGTGTGTGTGTGTGTGTGTGTGTGTGTGTGTGACTGTACTGTGTGTGTGTGTGTGTGTGTGTGCGTGTGTGACTGTACTGTGTGTGTGTGTGTGTGTGTGTGACTGTACTGTGTGTGTGTGTGTGTGTGTGTGCGTGTGTGACTGTACTGTGTGTGTGTGTGTGTGTGTGTGTGACTGTACTGTGTGTGTGTGTGTGTGTGTGTGCGTGTGTGACTGTACTGTGTGTGTGTGTGTGTGTGCGTGTGTGACTGTACTGTGTGTGTGTGTGTGTGCGTGTGTGACTGTACTGTGTGTGTGTGTGTGTGTGTGTGTGTGTGTGACTGTACTGTGTGTGTGTGTGCGTGTGTGACTGTACTGTGTGTGTGTGTGCGTGCGTGTGTGACTGTACTGTGTGTGTGTGTGTGTGTGTGTGTGTGTGACTGTACTGTGTGTGTGTGTGCGTGTGTGACTGTACTGTGTGTGTGTGTGCGTGCGTGTGTGACTGTACTGTGTGTGTGTGTGTGTGTGTGTGTGTGACTGTACTGTGTGTGTGTGTGTGTGTGTGTGTGTGACTGTACTGTGTGTGTGTGTGTGTGTGTGACTGTACTGTGTGTGTGTGTGTGTGACTGTACTGTGTGTGTGTGTGTGTGTGTGACTGTACTGTGTGTGTGCGTGCGTGTGTGACTGTACTGTGTGTGTGTGTGTGTATGGGTGTGTGTGTGACTGTACTGTGTGTGTGTGTGTGTGTGTGTGTGACTGTACTGTGTGTGTGTGTGTGTGTGTGTGACTGTACTGTGTGTGTGTGTGTGTGTGTGTGTGTGTGACTGTACTGTGTGTGTGTGTGTGTGTGTGACTGTACTGTGTGTGTGTGTGTGTGTGTGTGTGTGTGACTGTACTGTGTGTGTGTGTGTGTGTGTGTGTGTGTGTGTGTGACTGTACTGTGTGTGTGTGTGTGTGTGTGCGTGTGTGACTGTACTGTGTGTGTGTGTGTGTGTGTGTGTGTGTGTGACTGTACTGTGTGTGGTTTGCTGTGTCCGGTCTGAAAGCACTCACACTGAGTCTGTTCTGGTCCATCTCGGAGGACTTCTCCAGCAGAGTCTGCTCCAAATCACTGCATTTCTTCTTATACTGGAGAACCTGAACACATCGGAAATGAGGAAACATCATACAGAACGGACAGTCGCTGGACCACACAACCAAAATCAGAAATTCTCTTCAGACAAGCAAGTGTGTGTATGGGGAGCATCTGAGTTTATGAGGAGCGTCTGAGTGTATGAGGAGTATCTGAGTGTATGAGGAGCGTCTGAGTGTATGAGGAGTATCTGAGTGTATGAGGAGTGTCTGAGTGTATGAGGAGCGTCTGAGTGTATGAGGAGCGTCTGAGTGTATGAGGAGTGTCTGAGTGTATGAGGAGCGTCTGAGTGTATGAGGAGCGTCTGAGTGTATGGGGAGTGTCTGAGTGTATGAGGAGCGTCTGAGTGTATGAGGAGGCTGAATGAACGAGCGCTGACCTTGGCCTGTAGTTTCTGGACGAGTTGAGCCTGTCTCTGCTGGCCCTCCTGGTATGCGGTCAGTTTGCGTTTGTAAGCGGCCTGCTCCTCCTCCAGCCGCCGCCGCAGATCCACGTTCTGCTGGGCGAGACTCCGCGACTCCGCACAGTCTCCGTCCCCAACGCCCGTCTCCAAACGCAGAGCCTGCTCCAACTAAACACACCAAACACGCCAGCGTCCAGTTAATTATCTCCACCTGTTTACACGCACTGGCCATTTTATCAGAAACTCCTTCCATGCAGGCGCACCCAGCAGGTTTACACTTACAGACTGTGTTATTACAGTTTATTAGCCCCCCTCTACACCATTCATCCGTGAAAAGAGACCCCCATAGGACACTACACTCTCAGAAATAAAGGTTCTGTTCAGGTATGTTTTTCATTCATCAAGGTACAAACAGTGTAAATGTTCCCTCAAAGCTCCAACAGTGGTTCTAAGGTCTGATTGTGAACCTTAAATAAGTGTTTCCAGGTGAAAAGTTCGTATTTGTACCTTTTCATAACCGAATGTTTTAAACAGAACAGTAAAATAAAAGCCTGGAGACGAGACGAGGGTGTGTGGAGTCAGTACAGCTTAGAACATATCATTTCAGTGGATTATGGTTCAGTTATGTTCCCTGACTAAAGGTACTGAGATGGACCCTCGAGGGTCCTTCTTTATTTCTCACAGTGTACCACGACAGTGTCACTGCTGTGCTGATGAACATGCGGTCAGTGGTGATTCTACGGTGCAATTTTAAAATGACAAAAATGCTGTTTTTATTATAGCGTCGCTGCCCAAAAAAAGACATTTGAGCACAGCTGCTGTCCTTTATGCTGTGTCAGAATTTACATTAACTTACATTAAAAGTAAAGAATGTTTTCGCCTGCAAATTCAATTCAATTCAACTTAGTTATACCAATACAAGGTTGTACTGTATGACGAAACACTGTAAGGCTACTTTTCCAGTGCAGTGATAAAAAGACGGGTAAAAAAAGACAGCAGTGCAAAGACATCAAATATAGAGTATGTACATAAACATAACTGTAGGTCAGAAGGCAGAGGTAGAATTTCAAGTGCAGTTTTTGACCTGTTGGCGTTTACATTATGTGTTAACTGTATGTTTCTGTAAAAGTTATCATTTAGGAGATACGATGTTTTAGAGCCGCAGTGCCCGATCCCCACGACCCCACTGATAATAACCGTCTGCTAAAAAGGTCTCGGTTTCCCTGAAATCTCGTTCTATCGATTCTTTACAAAATGTTTACGCTGAACCAGTTTTTCTCAGTTCAGATCGTGTCGGTGTTGCCAGGGATGCTAATAAGAAGGTGAGAAAAGCACTACCAGCCAAAATGATCCAGCCTCAGTTTTACCCACACAGACGTAGCTGACCACCTGCTTTACAGGATTTAAAATCATTTAAAACTGGGGACTTTTTTCAGGTTTGTGGTGCCTCTGGACAGCCACCCAGGTCACAATCCTATTCGGCCCGCAAAACAATTTTATTTTCTATTAATATTAGCCCATTTCACCATGAACTGCACTACAGTGCCCAGCATGCACTGCAGTGTAACGTGTGCTCCCACCCCCTTAACAACAACCATCTACTGGACAGCACCACAAAAACAAAAACAAAAGGATGCCAGGTGTCCAGTCGGGGACATTTAAAGAGGTTTAACAGTATCTGCAGCTAATGTAGTCTATTATTTAATATAAAACAATTTGTTTTTATTTATTTATTTTTTAATCATTTAAGTATTCAGTGCTTTTTTTGCCGTTGTAGTTTCGGCATATTTTGAACACCCAGCGGCCGGTTGGGATCGTGGCACAAATGTTAAGTAAAAATAAAATAAACACACAGCTGGTCCACTGAGATGTGGAGATTTTTTAATGTGGCCCTCTCAGTGGTTGAGTTTGACACCCCTGACTTAGCCCAATGAGATGCACCCAAAGACCCATGTGCTGTGACATCACAACCACAACTAACTCGCAGTCTAGTGCGCTACATTCAGCACTCAAGCCTCAAGCCAGAAAACGTGGATGAGATGGTCTTAGTGGCCAAAATATCAGGCCTGCATGTTTATTTACAGAATATTGGTTAAAAAATTGCAATCAGATATTTTTCCCAAATCATTCAGCCCAGCATGGTGGTCTCTCTTTCTGAATGCTGTAGAGGGGCTGATAAACTGTACAGTAACAGATACAGCCTGTACCTGCAAACCTGCACAGTGCAGCTGTGTGGGAGGTGTTTCTGATAAAGTGGCCAAAGACAGATAAACACGAGCAAGAATGTCCAAAAATCAGATCCAGGCTTTTCTGAGACTAAAATTTCTTTTCAGCCTCAACAGCCAGGTTGGCCAGTACTGGGAGCAGCTATGGGGGAAATAAAGGGCTGACAGAAGCGTCCATGGTGACCCCCACCGCCAACGATAACGTCCAGTCTCCATAGGAGACGCTCAGGAACCCCAACCCAGGCTGTAAAAGCCTGTAAGGATTTACAGCTAAAACCAACACAACACACAGAAGAGTGAACCCTGCAGCTGTAGATCCGCACTGACACACCGCTGGGTGGGTCACACTGTACCACCTTAATGTAACACCTCAGCTGTACATTCACAATCATATCTGCACAGATCAGTAACATCACTTCTTTACTACACGCTCACTCGTTTTTCGGCAAAGAAGTTGTCAAAAGAACAAAGATTCTTGGCCTTTATATGAACAATTCTTCAACTATTTTAACACAAATATGATTCAGAGATTTGTTACAGCTTTTCACAAATGCATTAATCTTAGGAAAGTTGTTTACATTCTGTTATCACTTTATCCCAAAAAAGACAATCAAACATGTTCAGAATGCAGCTGTCAGAGTCTCACCAGGAGTAAAAGAAGGAAACCACCCCCACCCCATTCTTAAACCCTCAGACTGGCTCCCAGTCTGTTCCAGAACAGACTTTAAGGAGCTGTTATTGCTCTATAAACGTCTTAATGGTCAGGAGCAGCGTATTTACCTGACCTGCTGCAGCGATATGAGCCGAGCAGAACTCTCGGATCATTAGGAACTGGTCAGTCAGTCCTGCCGAAGGTGAAGACTAGAAGCAGATGGAGAAGCAGCGTTTAGATACTGTGCTGCTCTTAAATGGACCCAGTGGACAGAGAGCATTAGAAGAGCCCCGACACTGGACACTTCAAACCAGCCTGAAAACGATCCTGTTTGAGCAGCTTTCAGCTCAGCTTAAACACTGTTAGTGTTTCTAGCCCCTTTTTCCTCTGTAACGGCACCTTTTCATCCTAATTTAACTTAAATTTAATTCGATTTTTAATTATAGTAATTAGATTTGATTCATTTGATTTTTAATTTAATGATTTTAATGATTTGTGCAGCACTTTGAATGACAGCAGTGTATGAAAGCAGCTCTATAAGTAAACTTGCCTTGTCTTTATTAAAGGGCTCATATGCTACATTTTTTGCCATTTTATTTACTCCACTGAGCTTCTGATCTGACACCTGTGTGCTTTCACAGGTACCAAAAACCATCTCATTTCTACATGACCATTTTCTAACCTCTCTTTATCCCTTAGAAGTAATCAGGCTGTTTCTGTCACTGTGCCTTTAAGACTGAAGCTCTGTTCTGACTGGCTACTTTGCTCAAAATGTAGTTCGGGCTGAAACACTCCTTATAACTTAGTAAGAATGGGCGGGGCTAAACTGCTGTAGGTTAAATAGGTAGATATATGCAAATGTGATGGATTTTGTGACATCACAAAGTCAATTCAAAACGTTCCATATTTGAAGGTTATTTATACATATATATATATACATACATACATATATATAATATATATATATACATACATACATATATATCTCGCTGCTGTCAGAACAAAACCTTGTAGCTCCATTTTTGCTGTTTTCAGTAAATTTCGTGATGAATGGACCAAAAGAAACGGCCCAAAATGACTTGGAGAGACGTCTGGTTCCATTGACTTACATTAAAAGTCAAGTAGGTTTTTTCCTTCTCCTGTAAAATTGCTGTTCCAACAGCAGTGATGTATATATGTATATATATGTCTATATCTACATTTATATATGTCTATATCTATATTTATATATGTATATATATATATATATATTATATGTATATATATGTACATCTATACATATATATGTGCATATATATATGTACACATATATGTGGCACGACAATTTAACAATGTTTACATTCAACACTAAACCTTTATTTAAAAGTGAGTTCCATTTGTGTTGTATACATCCTAATTTATTATGTTGTTAATAATAAGTAACTGATTACTCATAATGACTATATTAGTAAACGATTCATTAAGCGTTAATCAGTGCACTGTTAATGATTAGTTTAGTTTGTAATTAACAGCTTACAGAGCTTATATAACTGTCCACTACCTGCTGATTATTAATGCCAATATATTTATATGTGTGTTTGCTTATAGAATAAAGAAACATGGGATCTCACTAGTACTTATGCATTTATCTTACCGCTCTATAGCTAAGTTTACTGTCCACTGTGCAGCCCTGTAGGGAAGGACGTCTTTAATATTTCCTCACACTGTGGTCACACAACAGGTCAGAAGTCATTCTGCTCTTCTAAAACTGACCCCAGGGCAGATTTGGGACAGAAAGTAACGCAAAACAAATCCAGAACAGTGAAGCTGCCCCAGCACTTCTATAAGCCCACAGCAGCCACTCAAACACCAACCCCCACAATGCCCCCCAAACCTGCCCCCGAACCCCCACCCCACCCTGTTTACAGTCTCCAGGGGTGACAAACGCCATGGCAACGTGCCACTTCACCTCATTCCACTCCACATCGCCGTGGAGACGGGCCGGCCTTCCTCACACACTCACACAAAGACAGGAAAATGAGCAGAGATGATTTGTATTCGTCTGAGAGGCTTTTACAGGCACTGCAACACCTCAGGCACGACTGTGGAGCGACACGCAGCCCCGATCTCCCCCACACCACAACGGGAAATCACTCCGCCCCCCGAAACGCCGCAGCCAATCATTGACAGAGCTCGCCGCATTCCTTTCTTCTGCATTTCCTGAAGCTTCAACTTTTCTGGAAATGCACTGCTGCACATAAACACACTGACACGAGAACCACAGCACTCTACACCACAAACAGAGACCTGGACAAGCACTCAGAACAGGTTCTAGCTTCACAGACCTTCATTACAGCGAACCACAGTCTGATATCGAGAGGACTGGACTGAACAATAATATAATAACTGCAGGGGGCAGATAGAAAGAACAGAGAGAGGCTAAAGGAGAGAAAGAAGATGAAAAAGAACAAAGAAAGAGAGAGAACTTTGAAGAGAAATGAGAGAAAGACTGAGAGAAAGAGGGAATGAGTAAGAGAGAAATGAGGCAAAGAGAGAAAGGTAGAGAAAAGAGGACTAAAAGGCTGAGGTATAAAGAGAGAAAGAGTAAAGACAGAGAAAGAGAAGGAATGAGAGTGATGAAGAGAGATACAAAGAGTTAAGGGGAATAAAAGATACAGAAAAAGAAGGGGAGAGAGAGAAAAGAAGGCAGAGATGGAGAGGGTAAAAGAGAGAGAAATAAAGAGGAAGAACTGAAAAAACAAAGAAGAGAAAAGAGAGAAAGACAGATATAGAAAGAAAGAAAGAAAGAAAGAAAGAAAGAAAGAAAAAAGAAAGAGGGAAGATGAGAGACAAAAAAAGAGACGGCGAGAGAAATGAAGACAGAGAAAGACTGAGGTATAGACAGAGGAAGAGAGAAAGAGCAAAAGGGAGAAGAAGACAGACAAAGAGAGATAGAAAGTTAAGGGGAGAAAAGAAGAACGAGAGATGGAAAGATAGAGAGAGAAGGAAAGGTAGAGCGAGAGAAGGAAAGAGCGAGAGATGGAAAGGGAAGGACTGAGAGGGAAGAGGAGGGCGAAAATCAGACGGCGCTACAGAGATTTCCATTAAATGTTGTTTTAATGCTGTTTTCTGTAAATGCAGTAGTTTTTTTGGATTCGCCACTTCAGATCTTCAGCCTCAGGAGTGAAACATATAAACTCTTAATAAAGACGGTTCTTCAAGGTTCTTTAGTAAAGAGAGTTCCATATAGAACCATGAACACTAAACATTCTTTGCCTGACGAAACGGCTCTTCAAGATTGATGGAGAATGTGTTGTATAAGGTTTGATCTAGTACCAAAAAGGGTTCTGCTTTTGTTATGATATCAAAGTTGTAACAACAGAAGAACCCCTTTTGGTGCTATATAGAACGGTTTTCAAAAAGGTTCAACACATTCTCCATCGATCTGAATAACCATTTCACCATGCAGAGAACTTTCAGAAATTGTTCCATAAGTGTTCTTGGTTCTATATAGAACCATTTTCTCAGAAACACAGAAACACTCAAAAAAACATCTGCACGCTTAAAATATCTTTGCAGAACTCTTTTAAGATGCTACATAGAACCATATACAACACATTCTCCATGAATCGGAGGGACCATTTAACCATGTAAAGAACCATTTAATCATGCAAACTGTTCTTTGAGTATTCATGGTTTTATATAGAACCACCGTCTTTACTAAAGAACCCTTGAAGAACCATCTTTTTAAAGAGAAAGTTAAGGGCAGAAAAGAAGAACGAGAGATGGAAAGATAGAGAGAGAAGGAAAGATAGAGCGAGAGAAGGAAAGATAGAGCGAGAGATGGAAAGATAGAGAGAGAAGATAGAGAAGATGAGAGAGAGAGAAGGAAAGATAGAGCGAGAGATGGAAAGAGAGAGAGAGAGAAGGAAAGACAGAGACAAGGAAAGATAGAGCCAGAGACGGAAAGACAGAGAGAAGGAAAGATAGAGCGAGAGATGGAAAGATAGAGAGAAGGAAAGATAGAGCGAGAGACGGAAAGATAGAGAGAAGGAAAGATAGAGCGAGAGACGGAAAGATAGAGCGAGAGATGGAAAGATAGAGCGAGAGATGGAAAGAAAGAGAGAGAGAAAGAAAGATAGAGAGAAGGAAAGATAGAGCGAGATGTGGGAAAGATAAAGATAGAGCGAGAGATGGAAAGATAGAGAGAAGGAAAGATGGAGCGAGAGATGGAAAGATAGAGAGAAGGAAAGATAGAGCGAGAGATGGAAAGAGAGAGAGAAGGAAAGGTAGAGCGAGAGATGGAAAGAGAGAGAGAGAGAGAAGGAAAGACAGAGACAAGGAAAGATAGAGCCAGAGACGGAAAGACAGAGAGAAGGAAAGATAGAGCGAGAGGTGGAAAGATAAAGATAGAGTGAGAGATGGAAAGATAGAGAGAAGGAAAGATAGAGCGAGAGGTGGAAAGATAGAGAGAAGGAGAACCATCTTGAAGAACCATCTTTTTAAAGAGTGTTCAGAACCACCCTCGACATGATCAGGATAGAGAGAACATAGTGAACAAATAGTGAGTGTTACTGGTTCTCATGCTCTTGTCGGAAGCAGCGCTGTTTAAGGGTTGCTAAGCGGTGGCTGGTTTAGCGTCGCATCAATCATTAATCCACAATGTGATTCTAAATTTATTTGGTGGGCCGGATAAGAACCATAACCGGGCCTGAGGTTCGTACGTTTAACCCGCTTAAAATCTCAGGCTTATTACATACTGAGGCTTATTATTCAGTAGCTACAGGGCCTTCAACGCAAACCGGCTGAGCTATTCTCAGGTTCTAGCAGTGTCCAGTAAAACCTTGTACCCGTTGGTGGCTTCTGGCCATTTAACACCCGTTTCTCAACATTTCGGCCGCGCTCTCACCCTCTCGCTGATGGCGCTGTATTTGATGGCGAGCTCATCGCGGTCAGCGCGGCTGTGGGCCAGCAGGTCCTCCAGGCGGCCGAGTTCACTCTGCAGCACCCGGTTCTCCTCCTGCAGAGACAGAACCGAGGACATACTGCCCCCTGAGAGAGACAGAGAGAGAGGAACCTTCAGCTTCAGCTCAGATTTACTCTTCTTTACTCTTATACTTTTAGAACTTCAGGATTAATAAGTTACTATAAAACACTAACACTAGTGCTACTATAGTTACTAGAGCTTGAATTATTAGCTAGAACCTGGTCCAACCTGACTGCTCATGTTGGGTTCAGTTAGGTTTCTCAAATATGTGTATAAATTTCGTGGCTCTGCCAGAATTACACAGAATTTCGTCAGTTCTGGGTCGGGCTCCGACAGAATTTCGTCAGTCTCGAGTTCGGCTTAGACAGAATTTTGTCAGGTTTGGGTCGGGCTCAGAGAGAATTCTGTCAGACTCGAGTCGGGTTCAGACTCTATGTGTCGGTTCTGGGTCGGGCTCAGAGAGAATTCTGTCAGACTCGAATTGGGTTCAGACTCTATGTGTCGGTTCTGGGTCGGGCTCAGAGAGAATTTTGTCACACTCGAGTCGGGTTCAGACTCTACGTGTCGGTTCTGGGTCGGGCTCAGAGAGGATTTGTCAGACTCGAGTCGGGTTCAGACTCTACGTGTCGGTTCTGGGTCGGGCTCAGAGAGGATTTGTCAGACTCGAGTCGGGTTCAGACTCTACGTGTCGGTTCTGGGTCGGGCTCAGAGAGGATTTGTCAGACTCGAGTCGGGTTCAGACTCTACGTGTCGGTTCTGGGCCGGGCTCAGAGAGGATTTGTCAGACTCGAGTCGGGTTCAGACTCTACGTGTTGGTTCTGGGCCGAGCTCAGAGAGGATTTGTCAGACTCAAGTCGGGTTCAGACTCTATGTGTCGGTTCTGGGTCGGGCTCAGAGAGAATTTTGAGACTTGAGTCGGGCTTAGTCGAGTCGGGTTCAGACCAAAATGTCAGGCTGATTAAAGCTCTAACAGACAACAGAACCTATTAACTTCCAGTTAGCCTGATGTCATTTGCATAATGGCAAACGGTTCCTATTGACTTTCATTCATTAACAGCATCGTTAGCATCTTTGGCTGAATTGCTCCTTTGAGGCACCTGATTCTCATCAAGACACACAAAACTCTAACGAGCTGACCGATCAGCTCAGTGGCCGTCAGGACTGGACTGCAGTGAGACTGCGCTGTCTGCTCTGTGGGTAAGCAGCTCTGGTCCAGTCTGACCCTGCAGAGCGCTGGCGTAACGTACCGCTGTCGCTCAGGTTCTTGGTGACGATTTCTCGCACTCGGGCTGGAATGCAGGTGGGCGGGGCGTCGGGGGAGGGGCCTCGCACCGTCAATCTCTTCTCCTCAGATAACACGCTCTCCTCCAGCTTCTGGAAGACATCACAGCCACATAATTACTACAGGAAGATGATCAGGAATCTGGAGGTGGGGATTCAACGGCATCAGTCTGGGAACGTTATAATCAAAGACCCCCTAATGAACCTCTCGGACCCCCTGACTGTCTCAAAATCAAAGTACTGGGGGTCCCTGAAAATAAACTTATAACGTTAAGCTGTCTGTTAGTGAAAAACAGACACTGAAGTTGGTTCTTCAGTGGTTCTTCAGTAAAGAAAATGGTTCTTTATAGAACCATGAACACTCAAAGAACCCATAGCATGAATAAATGATCTTTGCATCGTAAAAGGGTTCTTTGGATTGATGGACAATGTGTTGTAGAAGCTCCCTTTTTGAAAATGGTTCTAGATAGCACCAAAAAGGGTTCCACTATTGTTACAAGCCAAAGAAGCCTTTTTTGGTACTTTACCGAACCTTTTTGCTAACAGTGTAGCTATAAACGTATTTGTGGGCGGAGCCTGGAGAGCTTTATTATTACATCATCCCAAAGCAGCTCATCCAGAAAGGCAGGTGTAGCCCTGCCGAGCGTCGCCGAGGGAGACGGTGTCAGGAGGAACTCACTAACAGCGTGAAGAACAAACACTGAGAGGAACCAAGACTCAAGAGAGAGCCCAGCCTCCTCTGAGCTGCAGGCATTTCTGCTGTTTGTCCAGAAGACGCCTCTGACCGACTGATCCTCTCCACAGTACACTGATCTCAGAGCAGCTCCTCAACGACCAGCTCTAATCTAATCATCAGTCCACACCAACACAACAGAACCCTCAGAACCGCTCTGAGACCAGCCCGGCCGCCGGGCCAGGGACAGGTGGCGGCACAGCGGAGGGACACACACCTGCAGAGCTGTATATTTAGACCAGGACACAGAGAGGAGGGAGCACACACACACACACACACACACACACACACACACACACACAGTCACATACACACACACACACACACACACACACACACACACAGTCACATACACACACACACACACACACACACACACACACAGTCACATACACACACACACACACACACAGTCACACACACACACACACACACACACACACACAGTCACATACACACACACACACACACACATACACACACACACACACACACAGTCACATACACACACACACACACAGTCACATACACACACACACACACACACAGTCACATACACACACACACACACAGTCACATACACACACACACACACACACAGTCACACACACACACACACACACACAGTCACATACACACACACACACACACACATACACACACACACACACACACACAGTCACATACACACACACACACACAGAGTCACATACACACACACACACACACACAGTCACACACACACACACACACACACACACACACACACACATACGTACACACACACACACAGTCACATACACACACACACACACACAGTCACACACACACATACACACACACACACACACACACACACAGTCACATACACACACACACACACACACACACTCACACACACAGTCACATACACACACATACACACACACACACACACACACTCACACACAGTCACATACACACACATACACACACACACACACACACACACACAGTCGCACACACACACACAGTCACATACACACACACACACACACAGTCACATACACACACACACACACACGCACACACACACACACACACACACACACATACACACACACACACACACACACACATACACACACACACACACACATACACACACACACACATACACACACACACAAACGGTCCCACATCTTCTGCTAGCGCCACCTTAGGGCTGAACGCTTTAGATAAAATATCTAATTGATTTTCTGATCACGACTTGTTCATAATGTAGGTATAAATTGGGGTTTGGCCTTTGTTTGGCTGATAAGACCAGCGTATACTTTCTCTGGCCTGAGTCTTGAACTGTTAACACAGAGCGCCAGCCTGCAGACTTAAAAAGATGGTTCTTCAAGGGTTCTTTAGTAAAGGAAATGGTACTATGTAGAACCATGAACACTCAAAGATCTATTTGCATGATTAAACATTTTTCTGCATCATAAAAGCGTTCTTCAGATTGATGGAGATTGTGTTGTAGATGATTCTACATAGAACCTTTTTGAAAAGAGTTCTTGACATTCCAACAATAGAAGAACCCATTTTTGGTGCACGTACAATATATTCTCCATCAATCTGAAGAACCATTTCACCATCCAGAGAACCATCTAATCATACAAAGCGTTTTTTTGAATGTTCGCGGTTCTATATAGAACCACTGTCTTTACTAAAGAACCCTTGACAAACCATCTTTTTTAAGTGTGTAGTGAGAACACAGGCTCACTGCTGGCAGGGAACGTTCCCACAGCTTCGACTAACGTCACCTTAGGGCTGAACGATTTAGGCAAATTATCTCATAGTGATTTTTCCGATCAATACTGCGATCACGACTTAAACCGCGAGTTTTCATAACGGAGCTGTAAATTGAGGTTTGGGGCTTTTGTGGCTGTGGAGACCGGCGCACATTTCTTCTGGCTTGAGATTTGAACTGTTAACACAGCCTGCCAGTTGTCTGTGGTTGTGATGTCACACAATATCGTTGATGATAAACAGTAAGACTGTAAAACAAATTGAAGCTCTTGTGATGTAAAAGATATTAAACCATCTTTCAGCCCTGCGTCACCTCGAGTTCTAATAACGTCTTAAAGAAAATACTTTAATCTGAAAATCAAAGAGGCTTTAATGATGTTTATCATTTCTAATAATGTTCCTATAGGATTATAGGAGGCATAACGTTTACATGATGATGTTCTCAGAGACTGTTATCCTTTAAGAAGAATATTCCGGCAACTTCCCGCTGAAAATATTAACAGAACATGTGCTTAATATAATATAAATGTCTACATATTATATGTAAGTGTATATATACATATATACATATATATATATATATACACTTACATATAATATGTATATGTATATATACAATATATATACAAACACGCACATATATAGTCAATTCAAAACGTTCCATATTTGCAGGTTATTTGTATGTATTAGTTTATACATATATATATATATATATATACACACATCATCTAAACCGCTCATCCTTCTGGGTCGCGGTTATATATATGTATATATATATGTATATATATGTATATATATACCAATAAAATACTCCATATATGTAGTCTATTTAAGTACCTAATATAATATGTCCCTAATGTACCTATAACTAACAATAGCACATCTCATATGCATTATATATGTGAGTACCTGCATGTAAAAATATGTCCCTTATGCATAATATATAAGTGGAACTACCTATATGTAATAATATGTGCTATATACACATGTAAGCATCTATATGCAATAGTAGTATATCCCATATGTATCATATACAGCATCGCTGTCCGAAAAGAAAAACGAGTGTCTCCAAAACTGTACGTTTACAGGAGAGGGCAAAAATATTCTTTACTTTTAATGTAAGTTGATGTACTGAGATTTTATTCCGGGCGGTTTTGGAGCGTTTCTGGTCCATTCACTGTGAAATCCTCACACGATGTAAAGGACAGCAGCTCAAAGGACACAGAAAAATGAAAATCAACAAAAAAAGGTTCATATTTGGTTTTTTGGACAGTGACAGGACGAACATACATTTACACAATTATAACATGTCCTGTATGTATTATATACGATGTATAATGTATAAAAATATAGATTTTTTTAACGCAAACCCTAATTTTACCCTCACAAACCAAAAACAGACGGTTTTGCTCTTTCAGTTTAAGTCTCTTTTTACACACGTTGGTCCTGTTTCCTCTTATTTTCCAACACTGGGACACTTTTGTCCCAAAGACTCTTCTATCACTACACGTATCACGGGCTGCTACGCAGATCACACAAACCCACTCGCACCACAGAGAGTCTGGCTGTGAGCCACGAAGGAAACAAGCAGAGAAATAAACGCAGCATCTATGAAATTAGGTTTCTAACGCGCTCAGATTTTCTTCCTGAACTTAATGAAGTAAATCAGCGTCACCTGAATCACCGCCTCCAGCTTCCCCTCCGCGCGCGCACTCTCCGGAGCGCTCATCGAGAAATAAACACACAAACCAACAAACAAAAACTCGAAATCCTGATTTCTGAAGTCAAATCCAGTCAGCTGAAAAGGAATAAACGCCTTCGGTTTGACTGAATGAAGCCAGACTGAGACGCTGCTGCTGTCCCACAGGTGTCCGAGACAGAGACTGAGAGAGAGAGAGAGAGAGAGAGAGAGAGAGAGACAGAGAGAGAGAGACGGGGCGCTGAGAGATCAACAGAGAAAGGGGGGGGGTACTGAGAGACCGAGAGAGAGAGAGACTAAGGGAAAGTGACTGAGAGAGAGATAGGAGAGAGAGGGGGGCACTGAGGGAGAGAGAGACAGAGAGAGAGAGGTGCTGGTGTGTGTGTGTGTGTGTGTGTGTGTGTTGGGGGGGGGCGGATTAGGAGGATTTACACCCCCCTCCTGTGCTCATGCATTCTTCGGCCATGAGCTCCACAGGACACACACACACACACACAGAATCACTGACCAACACTATTTATTATTATTATTGTTATTATCATTATTATTATTATTATTATTTTATTATTATTGTTGTTGCTGTTCTCTCTGTTCCAGGTGGGTGTGGTGTTCCGGGTGGGCGTGGTCAGTGTAAGGTGTTATAAACTGAGGTGTGAGAGGCTCTACAGTCTCTCTAATCTGTGGAATATAATCTGCTGATTATGATCTACTGAAGGCAGTCAGTGCTGTCGAGCTCTCTGTATGCGGTGCTCTGTGTGTGTGTGTGTGTGAGTTTCCAGCCCCCCCCCAGCACTTTACGGCTCCCGCTGCCATGGAAACAGACCTATCAACAAAAGAGAGGGAGTGCGCACCGTGGGCTCACGCTTCGACTAGACCACCTGGTCGCGCACAGAACTCTGATTGGAATTCGGTCGACCAATCAGGAATCAGAGCAGGCAGCTCCTGGCTACTGATTGGCTGGAGCGGTTAGATTTGTGCCCATATTAGGAATTCCGGCTCTACGCTGGTTTTCCCTATGAGAAAAATGAACGGCTGAGGCAGCAAAACATTCCAGAGTTCATCCGTTACGCAGTACATTTTAAGGTTCTTCAAGGGTTCTTTAGTAAAGAAAATGGTTCTTCATAGAACTATGAACACTTAAAGAACCTAAAGGGTAGTTCTTTAAGGGTTCTTTAGTCAAGGCGGTGGTTCTGTATAGAACCATGAACACTCAAAGAAGCCTTTGCATGATTAAAGGGTTATTTGCATTGTGAAAGCGTTCTTCAGATTGATGGAGAATGTGCTGAAGACGGTTCTATATAGAACCTTTTTATGTAACACCAAAAAAGTTCTTTTGTCACAAGACTGACATTGTAACAATAGTGGAACCCTTTTTAGTTCTACATAGAACCACAGAAAACACATTCTTCATCAATCTGAAGAACCATTTCACTATGCAAAGAAACATTTAATGCAAATGGTTCTTCGAGTGTTTTTGGTTCTATATAGGAACACTGTCTTTACTGAGGAACCCTTTAATAACCATCTTTTTAAGAGTCCAGTTTAGGGGTGTTTGTCAGCTCCAGGCTGCTGTTTGAGCAGCTGATGTTGGTCCAGAGCTTAAGTTTAAGACTAGACTTACATGTAAAGTCAGTTCAGTGTGCAGCAGTCTTAGCTAGCAGTAACGTGTATGTAGCGTTTTTCAAATGCCAATCATTTAATGACCTCGTAGTCAAGCTGTAAAATACAGGGGATCTTGGGGGGTCTAGCAACCCCTAATTAACCTCTTGGACCCCCGAATGTCTCAAAATCTAAATTCTGGGGGTCCTGAAAATAAACGTATGACGTTTTGCTGTTTGGGGAAACACTGATGCTCAAATCCAGATTCAGTGAAGCTGATTGTTTATCTGCTTCACCCACAATCAGCTTCTGTCTCTGGGGTTCTTAACTAAGTAGAGCTGCAGCACTGCTCTGCCTCAGGGTGGCGCTGTACAGACTGGTTCACCCAGTTGGTCCTTCATAGTCTAGAAACCGTAACTCTGCCCGGATTCCTCTGAAAGACTTTATAATGAGCTGCAGCAGATCTGTAAGTCTGATTTGGAGGTGGCCGATATGATGATGTTTTATCGTTATCATGATAAATTAGATCACGATACGCTTTTCTGAGCGTATCTCGTCAGCATTAACGAACGACTGACTACGTTTACATTACAAAGTGAGGACAGTTTAACTGGATTTAGTGCAGTGTGGATTGTAAAACACTGAAAAAATCACTGTAGCTGTAGGTTTATTATTATTATTATCATTATTATTATTATTATTATTGTATTTTATGTGGTTCTATTTTGTCTGCTCCAACCTATTAGATTATAGAAAAACTAAATACCATGATGCATTGCGTGTGTTGAGAAAAAGACTCTGAGTATCGCGAAACAATATTTTTGTCATATCTCCCCTAAAACTATTTACAGTCAGGTTTAGACTTTATTTTGAATATTAATGCATGAAGCTCAAACAGAGCACTGATTCCTTGTTCACTGCAGTTCACTGAAAACTTTATTTTGGATCTGCTGCCCTTTTGTTTCTCTTAACTCACGGCCTCAATATAGTAACTCATGGCCACAATATATCAATTTCTGGCTTTAATGTAATAAATGTACCCTCAGTGCAGCAATTTGTGGTCTCAGTATATTTTGTGGCCTCAATATATTTAATTGTGCCCTCAGTATAGTAATTTGTGGCCTCGGTATATTCATTTGTGGTCTCAGTATAGTAATATGTAGCCTCAAAATTGTAATTTGTGGCCTCAATATAATTAATTGTACCTTCAGTGCAGTAATGTGTGGCCTCGGTATATTAATTTGTGACCTCTACAGTAATTTGAGGCTTCTATATTTATATTGTGGCCTCGATGTAATTAATTGTGCCCTCAGAATAGTAATTTGAGGCCTCTGTATAGTAATTTGTGGCCTCAATATAACTAATTTTGCCCTCAAAATAGTAATTTGTGGCCTCAATATAATGAATTGTACCTTCAGTGCAGTAATATGTGGTCTCAGTATATTAATTTGTGACCTCTACAGTAATTTGTGGCCTCAATATAACTAATTGTGCCCTCAGAATAGTAATTTGTGGCCTTAATATAATTAATTGTGCCCTCATAATAGTAATTCGTGGCCTGTATAGTAATTTGTGGCCTCAATATAGTAAGGCGGTCGTGATTAAGGATCTGCTGCCCTCTTGTGGCGGCGAATAGAAAATGAATCAGGAACATCAGGATTGAAAAACTCGTGTCAAAATGAGTTTCTCTGCTGACCGCTCGCTTCAGTCCCACTTATATCAGCTGTACATCCCGACAGTTAAGAGTCCTGAAGAGAAGCTTCCACACCGGATCTGACAGCTAAACCTCAGCAGCATCAGGGAATTTCCAACAGCTGAGGTTCAGATTTGCAGCATTTTTGGTTTCATTTTGTCCAAGATGGTCGATAAACACTGGACAAACACCGCCATAGGTCACCAAACAGCCGGGCCTTAAAGCTGGAACGAGTAAAATGGGCTGACGAAGCTGGTTAAGCTTCTTTTTGGAATTTTCCGTTCCACCTTAAATGGTGCAGCAGTTACTTTTAGAACGCCTCAGGCGCCGGAATGTAACTGCTGCACCATTTAAGGTGGAGCGGAAAGTTCCAGTAAGTAGCTGGAGAACAGGAGGCCACACTCGTGTCAGATTAATTTTAGAGCCTAAATGAGGATTAGCCTCGGCTCACTGCCTCAACAAGTGGAGTCTGGGAGGAGAAGCCTGCTTCCTCTGCCTGCATCTGAACCTGTACCAGACCCACACACACACACACACACACACCCTGCAGCGAGCGGGAACACGTGGCCTACCTGCAGGAGCCCGGGACTGAGATTCCCTCAGTCCAGTAATCACCATAATCCCGGCTGCGTTTGGAACTTGTGGACGATCTGGACTCTTCCTCCAGATCTTTAACTACAGACCCTTTTTCCGGGGTGGGACCGAGCAGAAAAGCGCCTCTGTCTTTGCCCATCTACAGTCTTAACGTACTTTGTTGAGCTTTTGCAAAGCACAATGTCAACATTCTGCAATATACGCAATATATTTACTGCAAAAGTGCGAACTGGACAGTTAACTGTCTTATTTTCGCTTAGAATGAGGAATTTTTCTCAGTTCTCAGTACAGAGCAGGCATTTAGAAAGTGACTAAATGGCGCCATCTGCCGGCGATGCGGCGCCACCGCAGCAACGAAAAAAGTTTCACTGACCAAATTATCGGTGAATTTTGTCCTTAACGAGACGGTGCGGCGTCAGATATGGCATATATATTTAAATATGGTTGTTATTATGTTCTCCGGAGACCCTAAAGTTACATGGTAATTATTTTTTAATAAGGCGGGGCCATGAATTTAAATATTAAGGCCACGAGTTATTTCTCATAACCCCCACAGGACCCCCACAGAGCAGGTATTATTTAGGTAGTGGGTCATTCTCAGCACTGCAGTAACACTGACGTGGTGGTGGTGTGTGAGTGTGTGTTGCGCTGGTGCGAGTGGATCAGACACAACAGTGCTGAGTTTTAAACACCTCAGTGTCACTGCTGGACTGAGAACCAGAAATATGCAGCCAACAGCGTCCTGTGGGCAGCGTCCTGTGTCCACTGATGAAGGACTAGAGGATGACCAACACAAACTGTGCAGCAGCAGATGAGCTATCGTCTCTGACTTTACATCTGCAAGGTGGACTGACAAGGTGGGAGTGTCTAATAGAGTGGACAGTGAGTGGACACAGTGTTTAAAGACTCTATGTGAGTGGGTTAATCTCTCTCTGGCTGTGCCATAATTCAATTATTAGGAAGAAACTGTATTAATTTTATATGAATAATATTATTATTTTATTTAAAACTTTTATTTTGAAATTTTCCCCACAGTGAAAGAGAAAGCACAGCTCTAGTGCGCTTTTCCTTCCACAGAAGCGTAAGATCACCATGGTTACTCATAGTAGCCACGTAGCTAGCGTAAGCATGGAAATGAACGGAGCTTACGCAAACGGCGCAGCTAGAAACTGTCCTCCTGCT